ATATATATATATATATATATATATTACATTTTAAGAATTATGAGACAAGTTTTCATGTAAAAATGCTGTAAAAATTCATGACACCATTAATTAATGACATAATTTCCCTGACAATGACATAACTAAAAATATCAGATAAATATTTTTTCAACTTTTTTTGCTTAAATCTGTAAAGCAACCTCAGTCCTGATCAAAACTACTAAATATTAAAAATAAATCTATTTTTAGGATTAGGATTTTAACCTTTTAAATGCCAATTATAAGTGATGTCACTGATTTAGGGGGGAAAAAACAAAATGACTTATTTTGAATATAAAAAGTTATTGGAGACTGGATATTTTTTCCTTTTATAACAGTATTGGATGTGTCAAAGATTAGTAACAACCTTTACTTTGATGCATTATTAGTTTTTGCGCAGCATCAGATTTTAATTTTTATTCACGCGCATTCTTAGTGGCTAAAAACCGCCACTAACAACCCTGCTGTAAAAATATATCAGATAAATATTTTTTCAACTTTTTTTGCTTAAATCTGTAAATCAACCTGGTACAGTCCTGATCAAAACTACTAGATATTTTAATTTTATCAGGATTTTAACCCTTTAAATCCCAATTTCATAAGTGATGTCACTAATTTGGGGGAAAAAAAAACACACAAATGACTTATTTTCAATATAAAAAGTTATTGGAGACTGGATATTTTTACCTGTTATCACAGTCTTGGATATTTCAATGCATTGTGCTTGTGCATAGAAAGCTGGTTTCTGGCTTTTATATATGGAGTTCATCAGCATATTATAGTGTACCTGTATGTGTGTGTGGTCACTGTCTTACTTGCACCTCAGTGTATAACACAATCAATCCACCGTGGTTTAGTCAGAACAGTTTATTTTACTATGAACTCAGTCAAAAAAAGACGCAGAAAGAGAAACCTAGTGTTGTACATGTGTCAGACTTTCCAGCAGGACTTGCAGCATATCACCTGGTGCACTTTGCATGTGTGTCCTCCACAAGAGATGCAGCAGCCGATTGTTCTTTTCTTATGTCCTGTGCACAACGCGCATGTTCCCCTCTTCCCCCCTGAGCTGCTGGAGTCTGCTGCTGCCTGTGTCTCCGTGTCTGGAGGAGCAGCTGCAGACGCCTGGACCTTTTTCACCAGTGCGGCAGCGACTGGCGCACGAGGCAGGCGCGCTCTCCTCTGCATGGCTGCAGAGACCAGAGAGTTTCCGAGCTCTTCTAGGAAAAGCCTCCTCCGGAACGTCTTCCCCTTGTTCCAGGCGGGGTCCACGGCCGTGAAGATGACATATGCATTGTACCCTGAGACGTCCAGCATGTTGAAAAACAACGCCTGTGGCCACCGGTTGGTCTTCCTCTTGCAGCTGTAGGTGCCCACAACCTGCAATGAGAAAGGTACAGATCTCATCATGATAGGTTTAAAGACACAAAATGCATCTTCTAAATGTACCTCTTACAAGCACATGAACTCAGTAAAGATGAACAGGAGCAGGATGCTTGTAGTGACACACACCTTGTCTAGAGTGTCGACGCCTCCCTTGCAGCGGTTGTATTCCATGATGATCTCTGGCTTCTTCTTCGGTCCCTCTGTCACCGTTGCCTCCCGGTGCCTCGTGCTGATGAGGATCACATTCTTCCCCCGCTTTGGGACGTAGCTCACGGCCGTGGTGTTCTTCGTGAAGGCAAAGAGAGAGGAGAGCGCAGCTCGACCTCTGATCTGCAGCAGGTTGGGTGGCAGCTCCGGTTTATTCTTCCTGATGGTCCCGATCAAGGCGATCTTTCTCCGCAGGAGCTCCTGACCGAGTGCGTAGGAGGTAAAAAAGTTGTCACAGGTGACAGTGATGCCCTGGAGTCCTCTTGTCATCTCCGTGACGACGCGCTGGCCCTGCCCCACCTCTGGAACACCATCAGTTTTCCCCAGGTAGATCTCACACCTCCAGGCGTAGGATGTTTCGGCATCAGCAGCTACCCAGATTTTCATACCGTACTTGGCGGGTTTCTTTGGCATGTACTGCCGGAATCTGCACCGCCCTTTGAATGCCACCAGCTGCTCATCAACTGTGATATCATTACCTGGGTTGAAGAGGAGGGGGAGGCGATGCGTCCACATGTCCCACAGGTCTCTGATGGGGGCCAGCTTGTCCTTCTTCTGCCGTTCTGGCTTCTTCCGCTTGTTATCAAAGCACAGAGCTCTGCTGATCTCGTGGAATCTCTGCAGGGACATGGTGGCTCTGAAAACCGCACGGCCGCTGCGATCGTCCCACAGGCAGCGCGTGGACTCACCTTTGGATCTGTAGACTCCGGCCAGGATCAGGAGCCCGATGTAGGCGCGCAGATCTACGGCGTCCACGTCGGTCCAGCTCTTCAATGCGCGGCGCCCTTGCAGGTTGGTCATGTCGACGAGCAGCTCAATCATATCCTCAGTGAAAAACAAATCAAAGGTGGACTCGATGTTGCTGACCCTCACAATGGCGTAACACGTCGGACCCGGAGTCACGCCTCTAGTAGGCAGAGTGAAGTGGGTCGTCTCCGTGTTGGTGGGAAACCACACTTCACCATTTTTCCCAGTCCACCCGGACTCAGGCTCTACTGGTTCCTCCTCGTCTTCAGTCAAAGAAGATGGAGACGACGATATGGGCGCAAAGGCATAATCAGGATCCGAATCCCCTGAGTTGGTGGTGTCCGATAGAGAGGAGGAGGAGGAGGAGGAATGTGATTTCTCCTGCTGCACGCTGGAAGACACAGGCTCCATGTTCACTTCCGTTGTTTCCACAGCTCCCATAGCTCCCACAGCTCCCACAGCGCCATATCTTCCATATCTTCCACAGCTTCGCTGCATACTAGGTTGGTTGTCCGACTAAAACAATGGAAAAGCGAATCAATAACTTAAATAACAGTAACGCCCCCTGAGGCATAGTGGGCGTGTCTACCGCTTCCGGATTAGCTTACGTAAATCCGCACATGCGCAGTCTCGGCCCTCAAACAGCCCTTTTCATGCCTAGCGCTGAACGACTAGCATCAAACGAGGTAAGGCCTGAGCAATTTAAGTAAAAAACACTAGATGTGTAAAACTCGGACACATTTTGCTACTCTAATATGTCGCCTAAGTCACCATTTATCTCATGTAATACGGACTTTGAACAATTACGCGTCATTTTACGTGTTTTTAAGCGACTTTATGAAACGCGTGTCCCATGCGGCTAGTGGAGCTAGCATAGCATTAGCTAGCTACCGAGAGAGACATGTCCGGGCAGAATCCCCACACGTTGCTTTACACTAATTCTCGTCAGTGTTAAGCTTTATAATAAGATAAATATTTCGACATTATATTTTCATGTTTAAGTTAATAAACTAGCGTAGATACTGGCACAACGTGGCGGCTTTCTGGGCACTGTTTGCTGTCACAAATAAATCCGACGGCACAAGTTGGTTTCCGCATCACAAACATTTATCATGACTAAAAGGAGATTGTCCCTTCGTGTTTTCTTCCAGCGTCAAGATGCAGCTCTTCTTGCGTGCCCAGAACACTCACACCCTTGAGGTGACCGGACAGGAGACTGTTGGACAGATCAAGGTAAAATATACACAAGCTGTTGAGATCTTTGAACTCAAAGAAGTTAAAACGTGAATGCAGTGCTGCTTTCAATGACCCATACGACTCCCCTGCTTATGATTTCACTTCTGTGGGGCTTTGATTAAAACGTCATTCCTTTGGTGTGTCACTCAGGCCCATGTCCAGGATCTGGAGGGTCTCCTGGTTGAGGATCAGGTGCTGTTGCTTGCTGGATGCCCACTGGAGGATGAAGCCTCCCTGGCATCCTGTGGTGTCTCAGAGCACTGCACCCTGGAGGTAGCTGGCAGGCTGCTGGGAGGTCAGTGTGCAGGATCATTACACAACCCTATGTGTTTGGAGAAACACCATATTCAGGGGGCACAAATTATACTGAATATGCTCCCTAACCACTGACAAGTTAGCAATTGTTGAATGTGTAAGCAAATCATCTGCTGTTAAACAGCACTTTATTTTGATTGAGCACATGGTAATTTAGAGTATACTGCTGGCAGTATAAGACCAGCCATGATACCTTAACCAGCCCCACTGATGCACAATCCGTTAAATTAAAGATCATCACCATGGATGAATACACAAATAACTAAATGTTTTCATTAGACTATGGACTGGGAGTTTAAATCACTACTTCAATAATGATTTATTGAATTTTTGGACAATGATACGCTAATTTCTGATATCATCAGATTTGCCAGGATACAGTTTTGATTCAGTTCAGGGGCCTGTGATTGATATGATTATATGCCTATTTCACACAGTCTGTTACAGAAGAAGCTGGCACCCATTTCTTTTTTACTTTTGGCAATAGAGATAAAAACAACACATAGTTGTACATGCTGGTACAGAGTTAAGTAAAGAAATATTTTCATTTTAACCCAAATCATCTTTTCCCTAAAATTTCAGGGCTGTCTGGTTTAAAGCCCTGAAGGACAACTTCTCCCAACAGCCATAATACATGAATTAAGAATAACTGTCAGTTCACAGACAAAATATTTTTTTGCTAATCACCCTTTATTAGCTCAAGCAAGCCTAGCAACTAGCGGAGTTTTACTCTTCCCATATCTTAACAAGTCACGGGTACTATATATAGTTTTTCTTACTGACTGTAGGTTTTAGTTGCTGCAGCTGCCGACAGAACAGTGGAAGCCTGCATGCATGTTTTGTTTAACCTGACATTGTTGAAACAGAGCAGCTAATGTTGCTGTGAAGCAGTGATACTCACCTTACTGCCCATGGGCCAAATCTGGCTGGCCCCTCAACCATTTTATAATTCACAATGAAAATAAATTGATTCACACTGGTTTTATTTATGTATTTATTTGTATTTTTAACATGTATACAATGCCTAAGTGCAAACATTAAAGTGCAGAGGGAGGATCTCCCAGTTGCTGAAAAGGGGGCCGGGGCGAAGTCCAGAATGTGGATAAGTGGCCCCTGTGCAAAGCAAATTGAGTATGCCTGCTACAGAGAGAAGTTAGGGAAGTGAGATGCCCGACCAGGCGGGTACTTTTTGTGTCTCATCCCTGCATTGTTTATATAGGAACTGCGTTGTCTGTTGACCTGTGTGTTCCCCGAAATCCAAAATATTTCCCCGATGTTGACCTGTTCCTGAGTAAATATCCTCAATATTGTCACGGTCTCTGTCTCGGCTGCTTGCTGTTAGCTGACTGACACAGAATTTCACTTTTCATAAATTATATTTGATTGTTGATCAGTGGATTATTACACCACTAATATTTAAGATTATGATCATGGATGAATATACACATGGCTAAATGTGTTCAGTACACCCCAGATTTAACGTTTGAAACTTTTTAGTACACAAGTGTCTTAACAATTGGAGGAGCTGGTTTGTCTGAAACATCCCAGTTAACGCTTCCTTTTTTCTTTTGTCCCTCCTCAGGTAAAGTTCACGGCTCTCTGGCCCGTGCCGGAAAAGTGAGGGGACAGACGCCCAAGGTAAGAAGGTTTCCTGCTTTTTCTGACACCTCGTGTTCTCGTATAATTTTGTTTCACATCTGCGGACCTCAAACACACGTATAGCACTTGGAATGTAATTTGTGTGTGCACGTTTGCATACATGTGATGAGCTGGTCATTAAGAACCATACATGATTTTAGACAAATGACCAACGCTTGCTCCTGTCTCATCGTGCAGGTCGACAAGCAGGAGAAGAAGAAAAAGAAGACTGGCCGTGCCAAGCGTCGCATCCAGTACAACAGGCGCTTTGTGAACGTGGTGCCCACCTTCGGAAAGAAGAAGGGACCCAACGCCAACTCCTAAGTGCTCCAATGCCCAACAGGAGAATCACGACCCATCAGCTTTTACCAGGTTAAATGTTATCCTGCTGTACAGAATAAAAATTTGGCTTGGAACAAAAGAGCACTCTGGGTGTGGTGTGTCCTGCAATGCTATTCATGTGCCTGTGAATCTGACTACAATACATAGCTGTAGCGTTCGTACCAGAACAAGTACAAATCATTTACTTGATGTAAATTAGATGAAACCTAAAAGTTTTCCTCCACTGATGGCATGCATATCAGTAATTAAACTTGACAACTGAGATCCAACTTCTGTCACCATAAATAAACAATCATTTAGTCTCTGAAATGGGTTTATTTATCATTTACATTGTACATGCAAAAGAACAAAACATAATGCAAAGAATAAGGTTTCAGGGTATGTACATTATTGACAAGCCATCACATTTTGGCCCAAACTGAAAATGCTGTAATAACTTATCATTGTTTATTGTAACGTGTTGATAAATGAGATAATGTAGGAACAAAGGTGAAATCCAAATGCCATTTTAACTTGATTCTTTACAGCAAGGCCATTGAGTATTTTTTTTTTCCCCTCCACCCCTGAAATGCAGTGCATGCTGAGCAGCGGTTACCCGTTAATCCACCGCCACCAGCTCAACCTCGAAGATCAGCTTTGCGTTGGGAGGAATTCTGGGAGAGCTGGAGTTAAGAAACAGAACTCAGCTGATACAAAATGAAAATGTTTTCATGAGATCAAATTACAGCTGCAGTACAGGAAAAACGTGTACCAACACACCCAAAAGAGACTCGCCCTGCTAATAGCTGCAACCACTGAATGCATTACTGAACACCTTATCACCTGTGTTGGCAGGTAAACAAGAAAAACCCTTCGACTAAACTGAACATCACATTACTTTATAAATCAATATATCAGCACACATCGAAGCACAAAACTAGCCAGTGAAAAGGATACTTGGAGTCAGGGAGACCCTTCTTCCCGTAGGCCCACTCTGGTTCAATCTCCAGTCGAGCTGTTTCACCCTTACTCATCGTCAGGATGGCCTCGTCCCACTGAAATAAAAATAGTACTGATGATGACGTGCAGTGGAGGAAGAGTGTCATATTAAAGGACTGACACGTTTAGATGCTGAGCAAAAAACACGAGAAGCACTCACTCCTCTGATGACTCTGCCCAAGCCGGCTTTGAAGGACAGTGGTTTGGATTGCTTCTTCTTTCTCGCCGCTGCACAGAGAGAGAACAGTGTGACACTTTGAGCACCACAAGCTGAGTGTCATCTCGTTCCATTATATTGGAGATTTGGTAACTCAAACCAGAAGAGTCTAAACTGATAAATAGCACTACAGGTGAGAGGAAAAATGTTTGATTTTGGGGTGAACTGTCCCTTTAAATCTGCAGGCAGACTCTTTACAGGATGCTGATTTCATCTGTATCTATAACCACGATAAACAAGTGCTATTATTGTTTAAACAGTTGACTTGGGTGATGAAAATAAACTCTGAAAGTGTCTAAACAGGTCAGGTTATCAAGAGCATTGTGTTAAATTTTAGGGTGCAGGTCAGACGTACTTGTGGGAATATTGGTGTCGAAGACGGTCCCATCCTCCAGGGAGCCAGTGTACCAGCAGCTCACAGTGTCACCTTTCTTTGGGAAGTTGGTTTTGTCGCCTTTCTTCAGCACTGACTTGAAGTACTTTGGTGGACCCTGAGGGGAAAAAACACAGCAGTGCTTAAAGGGGAACACGCCCAAATTAATTAAGACTCCTAATATGTTATTTCCACAGCCTTGGAAAGTCCAACCAATATTTGAGAACATGAGCTATTCCCTCTCAAAGCCAGAGAGTATGTTCTTTTTATACCCAAATTAACTCCCATATACTCCGAATAGTCCCCTGGGTGCTCTCAGTGTCATCTACAACATCTTTCCCAATTCACTGTCCATGGAGCAGCTCCAGCTTTTATACTCTATGACATCACAAATTGAGTTTGAGCTCTAGTTTTTGATTTGGGGGGAATTGTTCATGTTTACTAATATTTTTGAACTGTCTTAGACCATAGGAACATGTATGAATTTTGGAGAAGGCCCCTTTAATAGGAGTTTGTACATATAAAAAGACAAATCAACAACATCCCCTAAATCCAGGCCCCTGGACCAGTACCTCATCCACAGCCTCTGTCGGGACTTCTTTGGGCATTTCTTCAATTTTCACAGCTTTAACCTGCTCGGTCACCTCTTCAATTGGCTCTGTGCCTTTAAACCTCTGCACAAGACACACAAAGCATTAAATACACATTGTTAAATGAGCTTGTGAGCCAACCCAGACAGTGTGTGTCAGCCCCACAGATGCAGTGTCACCATGTCTCATCATCATCACTTACTTTGCTCTCAAACAGCTGATTGTAGGCAGTGATCAGTTGCTCTTTCTTTGCTGTTTTGGCGACGTTTTTGATGTTTCCCAGCAGCTTGTGCTCATTGAGGAACTGAAAGGGAAATGTGAATTAGAAAGAGAATACATGATGACAACTTTAACTACCATCTGATAAGTGTGACTCATAAATGAGGCGCATTTAAACAAACTGACATTAACCAGTAAATGCAGCTGCTTCTCTTCCTGGTCATATTTAATAACAAGCAGTGGCTTCTATCTAAACAATGCAGCACCCTCTTGTACGAGTGTGACTGTGTATCTGTTGTATATTGCACCTTGCTACATGCTAACACACACAGCCTCACAGATGTAGCTCCGCAGCTAACCATGCAGCATGCTGCAGCTCACACTCAGCGTTTACACTTTAACATTCACATATTCAGGCTGAAATCACAGAGACATTAAAGCGAGAAACGTACCGAGTGGGCTGCATTGTCCTGAATGAACTTTATAATGTCTTTTTTGGGCAAATCGTCACTTTTGAGCTGCTCATCGCTCCACTCCCGTGTTGGTTCATCCGCCATTTTGAGAGGCGAATTGGTTAAGCGTGACCCTCCTGGCGTATCGTATCCTAAAAACTGCTAAGACTTTTTGTTTCATTATTAATAATTCTGATTCAACCAATGATTGAATTCAAGACACAGTTGGACATTGTAAAAAAAAAGGTGAAGTCAAGTGAGCTTACAGTTATAATTGAAAATATTTTAATCATTATATGAGCGAGTTACATTACATCTCTCTAATGTGTTTGCTGCCACCTAGTGGACAAACACACAAGCAAATGTTTCAGTGGGAAACATTACTGTGAACTACAAAATACACTCTACAAAAGAAACTAACTGTCATACATGATAAAACTTTACAGTTGTTTAAACCACCAGTCATGGGAGATAAAACATGTTTCAAATGTTCAGCATGAGCTTGTTTCCTGTCACATCCACACTCTTCCATGCATCTGATATATTTTGTCATCTGTTCTATGTACTGTAGTGGGATCTTTGTCAGAGTCACAATGCCTTTTATTATTATTGTGTCATTATAAACACAACGAAATTAGGAGTGCTACTCCTGTAAGGTGCTGGCAGTTAAAACCACATCCTTCATAGTTGACAAAAAAATGTCATATAGCTACAGTACGTTCAAATGCCTGAGATTTTGCAAATGTAAACTTTTTTTTTTTAATGTTTTAGTAATAATAGGACCATGTTTTTGTAAACACTGCAGTGAAATCAACCTCTGCTCACATTAAACACTTTCTAATCAGTATGAATTCTGTTTATACAACTGTGCATCCACACCCCCCTTCCTGATTTTTGTCAACATGACTTTTTTCATGATTTTGGACGACATACTATACTATGACTTTTTTTCATAATTTATGACGATATACTATACTATGACTTTTTTTCATGATTTTGGACAACATGCTATACGATGACTTTTTTTGATGATTTTGGACAACATACTATACTATGACTTTTTTGATGATTTTAGACGACATGCTATACTATGACTTTTTTGATGATTTTGGACGACATGCTATACTATGACTTTTTTGATGATTTTGGACGACATGCTATACTATGACTTTTTTGATGATTTTGGACGACATGCTATACTATGACTTTTTTTCATGATTTCGGACAACATGCTATACTATGACTTTTTTTCATGATTTGGGACGACATACTATACTATGACTTTTTTTCATGATTTTGGACGACATACTATACTATGACTTTTTTTCATGATTTTGGACGACATACTATACTATGACTTTTTTTCATGATTTTGGACGACATACTATACTATGACTTTTTTTCATGATTTTGGACGACATACTATACTATGACTTTTTTTCATGATTTTGGACGACATACTATACTATGACTTTTTTTCATGATTTTGGACGACATACTATACTATGACTTTTTTTCATGATTTTGGACGACATACTATACTATGACTTTTTTTCATGATTTTGGACGACATACTATACTATGACTTTTTTTCATGATTTTGGACGACATACTATACTATGACTTTTTTTCATGATTTTGGACGACATACTATACTATGACTTTTTTTCATGATTTTGGACGACATACTATACTATGACTTTTTTTCATGATTTTGGACGACATACTATACTATGACTTTTTTTCATGATTTTGGACGACATACTATACTATGACTTTTTTTCATGATTTTGGACGACATACTATACTATGACTTTTTTTCATGATTTTGGACGACATACTATACTATGACTTTTTTTCATGATTTTGGACGACATACTATACTATGACTTTTTTTCATGATTTTGGACGACATACTATACTATGACTTTTTTTCATGATTTTGGACGACATACTATACTATGACTTTTTTTCATGATTTTGGACGACATACTATACTATGACTTTTTTTCATGATTTTGGACGACATACTATACTATGACTTTTTTTCATGATTTTGGACGACATACTATACTATGACTTTTTTTCATGATTTTGGACGACATACTATACTATGACTTTTTTTCATGATTTTGGACGACATACTATACTATGACTTTTTTTCATGATTTTGGACGACATACTATACTATGACTTTTTTTCATGATTTTGGACGACATACTATACTATGACTTTTTTTCATGATTTTGGACGACATACTATACTATGACTTTTTTTCATGATTTTGGACGACATACTATACTATGACTTTTTTTCATGATTTTGGACGACATACTATACTATGACTTTTTTTCATGATTTTGGACGACATACTATACTATGACTTTTTTTCATGATTTTGGACGACATACTATACTATGACTTTTTTTCATGATTTTGGACGACATACTATACTATGACTTTTTTTCATGATTTTGGACGACATACTATACTATGACTTTTTTTCATGATTTTGGACGACATACTATACTATGACTTTTTTTCATGATTTTGGACGACATACTATACTATGACTTTTTTTCATGATTTTGGACGACATACTATACTATGACTTTTTTTCATGATTTTGGACGACATACTATACTATGACTTTTTTTCATGATTTTGGACGACATACGATACTATGACTTTTTTCATGATTTTGGACGACATACTATACTATGACTTTTTTCATGATTTTGGACAACATGCTATACTATGACTATTTAATGATTTTGGACGACATGCTATACTATGACTTTTTCATGATTTTGGATGACATGCTATACTATGACTTTTTTTCATGATTTTGGACGACATGGTATACTATGACTTTTTTTCATTATTTTGGACGACATGCTATACTATGACTTTTTTTCATGATTTATGATGACATACTATACTATGACTTTTTTTCACGATTTTGGACAACATACTATTATGACTTTTTTTCATTATTTTAGACGACATGCTATACTATGACTTTTTTCCATGACTTTGGACGACATACTATACTATGATTTTTTTTCATGATTTTGGACAACATACTATTATGACTTTTTTTCATGATTTATGACGACAAGCTATACTATGACTTTTTTTCATGATTTATGACGACATACTATACTATGACTTTCTTTCAAGATTTTGGACAACATACTATTATGACTTTTTTTCATTATTTTAGACGACATACTATACTATGACTTTTTTTCATAATTTATGACGACATACTATACTATGACTTTTTTTCATGATTTTGGACGACATACTATACTATGACTTTTTTTCATGATTTTGGACGACATACCATTATGACTTTTTTTCATTATTTTAGACGACATACTATACTATGACTTTTTTTCATAATTTATGATGACATACTATACTATGACTTTCTTTCATGATTTTGGACGACATACTATTATGACTTTTTTTCATTATTTTTGACGACATGCTATACTATGACTTTTTTTCATAATTTTTGACGACATACTATACTATGACTTTTTTTCATGATTTATGACGACATACTATACTATGATGTTTTTTCATGATTTTTGACGACATACTATACTATGACTTTTTTTCACGATTTTGGACGACATGCTATACTATGACTTTCTTTCATGATTTTCAAAGACATACTATACTATGACTTTTTTTCAAAGTTTTGGAAGACATACTATACTATGACTTTTTTTCATGGTTTTTGACGACTGTTATAACCCAGGTCATTGTTTTCTGCTACTATTGTCCTTGTGTTGATCTACAGTGATCTGTCAGATGTTCTCTCTCCTCCTGTCGTGATTGGTTATTGCAAAGCAGGTGATGAGGTGCTGATTGGGCCATCCGAAGAAGACTGCTTACACCGCATGGGCCATTGCGAGACAGAGGGTTTTTAAACCACCAGCAGACAGAAGCTCTTCCCTCCCTTTCACCTTTCCACCACCACCAAAGCCATTACTTAGACTGTGTTTGTGTGTTGTGCCTAAGTCACTGCAACCAAAATAAACTCCTGATTCAAGTAAATAAGTGTGTATATTTTGATAACTTTGTTAATTAGCAAAGATATTTGTTTTATGTTGTGTAGGTGAGTGGAGTTATGTTTAGCAGCTTAATGTTTAGGATTATTAGTCGTTTTTTCTTGTATCACTTTTGTCAAGCACTGTTATAGAGCACAAAAGCAGTATTGGCTGGAGTGAGAAGCTCTTTTTTGTTTGTCATTGCCTTGTTCTTTTCTGCTGCTTTGAAAGGTAGGAATTTGGGTTAGAAAAGTGTCTTTTATTTTACATTTCTTTATATTTAGGTAAGTTTAGGGTCCATAAGTATGTTTTTGTTTGTTGTCTTGGGCACTGCTCACATCTGAAGACAAAATAAACAGCTTTCTTTGTTGTTTAAAGCACTGTGTAACTGGTCTTTCTTGTGTGTGTGTGGGAAGAGTGGGGGACATAACATGACACATTATAGTATGAAGTTTTTCATAGTTTTTGACAACATAGTGTACTATGACTTTTTTTATGTCACCAAAAACCATGAAAAATGACATAGTGTACTATGTCGTCCAAAACAATGAAAGAAAGTGATAAAATATTATGTTGTCAAAAACCAATGAAAAGAAGTCATAGCATGTCATCAGAAACATGAAAAAAAAGTCATAGAATAGTATGTCGTCAAAAACCATGAAAAAAAGTCATAGTATCGTATGTCGTCCAGAACCATGAAAAAAAGTCATAGTATAGTATGTCGCCACAAATCATGAAAAAAAGTTATGTATAGTTTGTTGTCCAAAACCAGGAAAAAAAGTCATAGTATAGTATGTCGTCCAAAATCATGAAAAAAAGTCATAGTATAGTATGTCGTCCAAAATCATGAAAAAAAGTCATAGTATAGTATGTCGTCCAAAATCGTGAAAAAAAGTCATAGTATAGTATGTCGTCCAAAATCATGAAAAAAGTCATAGTATAGCATGTCGTCCAAAATCGTGGAAAAAAGTCATAGTATAGCATGTCGTCATAAATCGTGAAAAAAAGTCATAGTATAGTATGTTGTCAAAAAATCATGAAAAAAGTCATAGTATAGCATGTC